GTGAGACTGACTGGCCTGTAGTTCCCCGGGTCTTCCTTTTTTCCCTTTTTAAAAATGGGGGTTATGTCTCCCCTTTTCCAGTCAGTGGGAACTTCACCGGACTGCCACGACTTCTCAAATACGATGGATAGTGGCTTAGCAAATTCATCCGCCAGTTCCTTAGTTTTGAAGTGATCTTTGCTATTCAGCTTCTTAGTTTGTTGTGGCTGGGCTTGTTTCTCAGACATACTAAACACTTGCAGCCATTACTGACTTGGAGAAACTGCATTTAGCGTTAGAGGAAGGAAGAGATGGTTTTACTTAGAAACATGCATTTTAAAGGTTTTATTTGTTTTACCAGGACACAAGGGAGAATAGAAATAAAGGATTTGATTACTTGCTGAGAGCAGCAGAAGCTGGAGACCGGCCTTCCATGATTCTGGTAGCAAGAGCATATGATACAGGTGTAAATCTTGGTTCAGACAGGTACTGTGCATGACTGAGTAACTTAACTTGGTGGTACTCCACTGGGCGGGGGGAGAAGCACTTGCTGCATGTCTTTCATTCACATAAAGGGCTGTTATGTCATAAGTAATGCTATGAAGGAGTGTTTTGGAGTTACTTCAAACTTACTCAGGTGTGAATAAAAGCAGGGTTTAGGCCATAATACATCATCACAGAAAGAAAATGAGAGATCATTTCAGCTGTTGGACACCTGCATGTGCGTTGGATCCACCTGCATGTTTGAGTTTAGCCCTCATACCGAGGTTGCCCATGATAGGCAAGGTTTTTTTGCTCTGAAGTTGGTGGTAAAACTCCTCTTGACTTCACTGGGAGTTGCATACTTGAAAATCCTGGGATCAGTGGAGAAAAAATGAACACAGGAGTTCTTTTGGAGATGTAGTACCCTAAAAGTAAGTGAAAAGTATTTACAACTGCCATGTCTCCTCTGTAGTGATTTTTTGAAAGCACAGGTTTTTTTAAAAAGTGGGGTGGTTTTTCTGATAAAGCTGTGAAAGAAGCTGTAGAACAGGAGAAATAGGTGAAGTCGTAAAGTGACTATAGACGAGATGCAATCAGATGAACAAACTATTTGTCACAGTTGTAGTCTTTCACTGCTCCTCATAATAAAAGTAGGAATGGAAATTTCACAGGAACATAGTCTTAATGCTGAGGATGTTACTTTTGATTAAGGATGATTTTAAGTTTTAAGAAGTTTAAAAATGCTTTTACTTCAGTAAGTCTCTTAATTTGGCCAGCACTTCTATCTTGATAGGAGGGATAGGAGCAGTATTGTGACTAAGAACTAGATTGTGATTTGCCAAAAGGCTACAAAGTATATTGGTTTGATTTTTTTTTTTAGCATTTTAGATGAGTTTTTAAAAGTGGACAAATACTAATTTCCTTAAGTACCAAATACAACAGGTGGTCGTAGTGATTTTTCTGCTTTTGTATTGTAGCATGTCTTTGCTATTTACATGAGTTTTCTGTTTTGCACAACAGTGAAACTCTTGGCAGTGGTGAAGTTTAAAATAACATTAAACTTCTCATCGAAGTGCACTGAGCATTCTCAATATGAAAATCGCTGATTTTAAAGTATTTATGAAACAAGACTCTCTGCAACTTCAGATTGTTTCCAGATCAGTTATCTTCACAAGTATAAATGCCAGACCAAAACCGTACAACTTGTAATGAACCTCAGACTCTGGAGTTCATCAAGACCCTTCAGTCTGATACTTTCTCCTCTGTAATTACTGCATAAAGTGACCCCAGCCCCATTTTGATATAGTGACCTGATGCTGCAGTGCAGAGTTAGTGAGCCTCCGTGAGAATATTTGCTTTCTTGGAGAGCATCAAGGCTCTGAGAAGCTAGTGCAAAATTGAATTCTGAATCTCCAATGCAAAGTACATTTGTTTCCTAAGGTAACCATCTTCAAAAATTATTTTTAACTTCAGAGTACAGGATTGGAAGGAGGCGCTGTACTGGTACAATGCTGCACTGAACATGACCGACTATGATGAGGGAGGTGAATATGATGGCACTCAGGATGAGCCCCGGTATCTGCTCCTGGCCAGGGAAGCAGAGATGTTAATGACAGGAGGGTTCTACCTGAATAAGGATCCACAGAAATCAGGTGAGGCCTCACTTTGTTTCTGTAATTAATAATCCTACTTTTCCTTCCCTTTTCCCCCAGCATGTACCCCAAAAATACATTTCCTGCTTCAGCTGTTCTAAAACATACAGAGGGTCAGTACCCTCAGATTTGTGCATGGAGCTGTAATAATGCTGGGTGATACAAGGCTGGAAACAGTGAAATAAGAGATCTTGCTGATGACAGGGGTAGTGGGCGGTGCCAGGTCCAATCCTCTAACACACTGAGTCACTAGCAAGCAACCTTCACTCCCTGTGAGGCCACTGAACTGCAGGTTGCTGCTTGTATTTTGAGTTACACCCATGACTCCCAGGCCCTACACAACATTGTCTTAGTTGTTGTGTAATTTACATGTCAGGCATCTAAGTCTTAGAGTCGTCTTGGGGGATCGTACAGGCATGTAGGATCACGTAGTCATGTTTCCAATCCTTCCAAATACATTGAAAAGCCATCAGCAGCCAGTCATATAACTTTCAACTTGAAGAGCAAAAGCGAGATTCCCAACTGGTGTAACTCTGCTGACACTATTAAAATACACCCATACATCCAGCCCTGTAGTTTGACCTCAATTTCTCTTTTTGTCCTTTAATTGCTTCAGGATAAAGAGATGTTTTTTTCTTTACCCTGTCAACATAACTGATACTATTTCCTCTTCTAGGCGAGCTGTACACAGAAGCAGCAGAAGCAGCAATGGAAGCCATGAAAGGCAGATTGGCAAATCAGTACTACCAAAAAGCAGAAGAGGCTTGGGCGATGATGGAAGAATGACACTGCAATTAAGCAGTTCTTGTATATAATTTTTTTATAGACTTGCTGCATTTGCAGCTGAAAAGATGTATTTTTATGTGATGTTACCAGTTTCTTTTTTTGTATTTTAGTTTTCTAATTTTTTTTTGAGGGGAGAAATCCAAATGTAAGTGGTATGTAGGGTGCCGTAGCGTACTTCTGCTAGTGCTTTAAAGCTGTAATACAGACACACTTGACTTTTTGTATTTTTTTTTTTAACTGTAAGAACTGAGGGTCCTAGTTTTTTTGATGAAAAATGAAGCTGATGTTTGTTTAGGTTTCACATGTCCTGTTTTTTACGCAGCAAACGATCAGTGTGTTTACATTTTTCTTCTCCTCCCCACATACAGAAAAACATTTTCCTAAATTCTCAGCATTTCTTCATCATTTTTGGTGTATCTCACCAAATTTTCATGTGAATGTATATTTTTCAATTTAAGCATGCAGCTACTCATTTTAATAGGTAGTCCCATTCTATTACGCTGGTGTCGTTGGGCACTTCTGTTACTCTTCCCAAACGAATTCCAGATAGAATCCTTACAGTTTGGGGAGGGGCGGGGAAGATGCTTCAGATTGGCAGTGAGGATATTCAGGGTGGAATATGTTTTATTCATTACCAACACTGCATATTTACCATCAGAAAATCACTGATGTTCCTGATGAGGTGAGGCATCTAGCTACCTCTCTCATTTTCACATTTTGCACCATATAATAAACTAGTTGTATAAAATTCTACTGATCTTATGATATTTGTCCAATGATGTACAGTAGCAAGATCTGTAATATATGGGTAACTTGAAGTTATTTTTACAGTGACATCTCATTTCTTAGTGAAGCTAGATCATCTCATTTAAAATGAGAATACACTTTCCACCATTTCCAGAGCGATGTTTGAAAAGGTTAGAGGATGTTGATTCACCTGTTTCTATGTATAGAAAATAATTTATCTGGTTTAGATAGCTTTTAAAATAAGTGTTTTATCTGCAAATGGTTTCAAACGACAGTTAGAGAAAATTGCTGGTTAAGAAGAGAAAACAATATTATCCTCAAACACTTGAATTTCTGTGTCCTGTTTGCATAATCCTAACCAGTAATGGGAGGACAAAATCATGGTGGTGGTTGAATTATCATTGCATAGAGGTAAGTTTCTTCCAAATCCAGTATTTTATTCCGAAGCTCCTGTGCCATCTATACGGATAGTACAGAAGCTGTTCCTATTTCTTGGTCATGGTTAACAGTCGTTTCACAGGAGATTAAGGCGGAAGCTTTTGCCTTCTTGGCCTTACAGTGTCCTGAGGGTGTAAATTGATATGAATAAGGGGGAGTCCCTGTGAAGTGCTGAATGACCTATGATGCTCACCAGCCTCACTTTAGCCAAGCTTTTAAAAGCATGCTTAAAACTACGCAGTCTACTAGATGATGCAGTTGATTTAATTGGGACTTCTTGCATGCATAGCCAAGTAATATTACTTTCTTGTAAAATGTAGAACCCATTCAAGGAACAGAAATCAGTTCTTCCTTTCCTGTGCGAGTGCCCGTCACTGGGCTCCACAGTTGTGCTCCTCATTTACTCTCTTTCTGGCAAGTGGATCTTGAATTGTTGTTTAAACAGTGTCCAAGCATGATGTTAGTAACAACTGCCACTGTCTGAAAGAGGTGATATCCTGGTGGTTAAGAAGTGAGATGGGAAGGTTTGAATCCTTTCTAGGAGAGAAGGAAAAGTTATCCTTGGATGTCATACTTCTGGGTGGGTGCTGTAACCACCAGGCAGTTGTAGCTGTGAGTAGCCTTGTAACACATGGCCGCATCTTCTTGCTGTATAATTCAGGGGGTTTGGGAAAGTAGTGCTCATGGCCGCCTTTTTATTTTGTGTTTTGTTTTGTTTTGAAGTGAAGGTGAAGTTCTTCAATCCAACAATGGAGGAATGTCTAATTTCTAGATCTCAGTTGGACTTAGGTAGATATTAAGCTAGGTACTAAAATAACCAAATTTTTGGACCCAATATGCTGAAATAGATCCAGAGTTTGTAGGATTGCAAGTCAGATGGATGTTTTAAGCGCCAATCCAAAGTTCTGCTTTAGGTGCCTAAAGCCTCTTTTGGATGTGGCCTTTTTGTTCTTTCAGTTCATAGCATTAAAATATCAGCTCTCAATGAAAAGTGAATGTGCAATTCACCTCTGAAAACAGCTGAATAGTTGGAGTGTTTTGTGCAGAACCGATACAGTGTAGGCACTGTAACAAATTCAGACGAAAAGATTTGTTTTCCTGATGAGGTGTTGATGCCAGGTCTTTGAGATTTTTCCTTGAGAAGGAAGCATGTGTAACAGCACCACCAATCACGTAGGGAGGAGAGGAGATTGAATGTACCCGTCCAAAATGTGTATGTAAAGGATGTAGAGCGTAATTATTGACACTTTTTGGTGTAGTTTAATTTGCTAAATTCAGTAGTTGCTAAAGTTGCTGACAGTTCTCTGTAGATCTGGTATGTAAATGTGCACACAGCTCAGTGAAAAAGTTATGATGATTAATCCTTTGTTTGCAAATACTCTTTTTAGTGACGTAGCCTACCTTCTGTCCTCAGGTGGTATCATATTTAGCTATACAATAAATAGGACTGTCAATAATTTGAAAATGGAAATTGTTTACAGAAATATGCACAACTTATTCTATGACATTCTTTTGAAGAGAAAAACTATATATTTGACAGACTTTTGGAATTATATTGCTATATGCTGTATTTTTAATCTATTCACAATGAATAAATAAAAATGTGTATTTTTAAAAAATGTGAAAATAAATCTGAGGCTCAGCCTGCCAGAATTTACCCGGGTTCAGTGTTTCCAGATGCCAGTGGGAATATGGCTTGGGTGAGGACAGTGAGACGCCTTTGTTTGTATGTCAGACATGCAAATACTGATTGCCTGCATCACTTAGTCCTCTCATTCACTTTGTCTGGTTTCATTCTGGCTGGTCAATAAAGCTGTTCTTTTTGTCACTTTTTCTCAGTAGAGTTTTAGTCATTGCATGGGGGGGGTTGCTTTTGTTTTTTTCTTTATAATTTGCCAAAGTTCAATCCTACTATTGCAAGCTTCCGGAAATCCTCTGTGTTGTCTTTATTATTCCATCCCTGATTTCATTCACTTTCAACAGTCAGAAGTAACTAACTGGGAGGAAATAACTAGATGTGTACCAACAAAATCTGTTTTCCTCAAGAAAACTAAATGGTTGATGTGCTGTTTTATTTGCATTCAATTACACATGCAGTGTTTGTGTAATTGAGTGCAAATGCAATTTGGACTGAAGTGCTCATTTGCAGGACTGCTACAGAGGCATCCTTATGCCTTCAGTCTTTGCTTAGTCCTGAGAAAAGGATGGGGATACTTGGCCTCTGTGATTTGAGGTGGGAGAGTTTTTTGTAATAGCTGCAGTATGTAATGATACAGTCATCTTCACTATGATTTATTCCCCTTTCTGTTCAAGAATAAACTGTCTAATACTAGCCCTTTTAAACTGTTAGAAATTGAGCTCTTACTGTTGCTTTTTTATTGCGTTCAGACAGGTATAGTTTATTATACCTGTATAGTTTAAACAATACGAAGTTGTTCTCTTGCAAAGGCACTTTGAAATAGCAGAATCTTCTAACAAAAAAGCCCCAGCAGAGCCTCTTCACCGTAGTGTCACCAAGATGAAAAATGGTGAAATTTGGCACTGCAAGTCTTGTCTTTAGCTATAGCTGCTGTCACTGAGAGCTGGAGTGTTTGGCAAGCGTAACGAAGTGGGGATAGCACCCATCAGAAGGCACGGAGACAGTCAACACTTACAAAGTATAAATAAGAATATTGCCTGTTTCTTAATTACTGGTCTGTGGGACTGATTTGAATCTCACTCTCTTCCCCACAGGTATAATTTCACCTCTGAGAGGAGAATGACTGCTGACAGACACAGGTGTAGTTTAGGTGGGCCAAATCCAGACTTCTCATCTGAATTTTGAAAGGGAGGATTTTGCTTGAACCTCAGGTTGGATTCAGGGCCAGTGCTTCTGGTGGTGAGTCAGGTTCTTTTCAGGTTTAAGTTCAGGGGCATCTCTCATGTGCCTCCCGCTGCTGGGGACCTGAACACTTCATGGTGACAGCTCACGGGTTTGTAGCCATCAGGCCTGGTCCTTGGTCTGGACATAATCAATACAAGTGTTGGGTCCTTGCTCTTCTCTGGCTAACTCCTGTACCAGGAAAGCCATATAATGAGGCTGGTAGCTTGGTTATATTTTGAGTTCTCCTGTAAGTTCATTCTTTTAGTTTGGAAAAAGTCCCGTAATCATCATCTTACCTCGCACTGGTAAAATGAGAAACCCGGTGACCCAACTGCCAGCCCTGAGGGGTGTCACACATGGCTTACATGAATAATCTTGGGTACAGGGGCTTCCTTCCGTGTTCAGGAGAAGTGTCTCTGTGGCCAGGCACACAGACATTTCAGGGACAGAGGCTGAGATCACTCACAGCAGGGCAGAAAAGCACTTCTCTGGGAGGGTGTTGGTACCTCTTACTGCCTGGGTAAAAGGACCTGTGGTGCCGAGCAGCCCTTGCAATGAGAAAACCACTTGAAGATGTGCTCCATGCAGCCCCTCAGGCACCACATCTTCCCCCCCCACACACACAGTGAACGTGCAGCACTGTGGATGGTACGCTGAGTCCACTGGTGCATGGACGAGTGCTTGGAGACTGAGAAACCAGATTCCCCCTAAACTTTTCTGCCTGAACAGATTACAGGTTAGTTGCTGTGTGAAGCCAATTCAGGTCTGCCTACTTTTTCTCCTCCCTGAACCACTCCTTTTCTGCAAAGCTAGGGCCGTGGGAGGAGCGTCAGCTCCCTCTGTTCTCAAAAAAACCTGCATCCTTCTGAAAAGGCACTGAACTGAGGGTGTGAAACTGCAGCAGCGATGAAGGAGAAGGATCCCATTCACGCTTACACGTGTGCTGTTATTCCTCAGTACTTGTAGGCAGTGAATGAAATTTTTAGCAAGACTGTGCAAAGCTGCAGCCTCTTGGCAGAATCCCGTCCAGCAGCTCCCCGGGAAGAGGGCTGGTGCTGCAGGGACAGGCAGGCTGCGGGAGGCGCCGGGGGAGGTGGGGTAACCCAGGCTGTCAGCGGGGCTCCAGCACGTTTGTTTTCTCTATCCTGTTTAAACGGACTTCCACAACTACAGAATTAAATCAAGCTGCATTAAGACTTTGTGGCTTTACTCTAGAGAAGCTGGAATTTTTCTCAAACACAACCATTCAGCTCTAGTTAAGGGGTGAGAATAACATTAATTCTCCAAGAAAACTTACCAGAATTTCAGGCAAAATGTGGACAGAGTCTCCCAAGGGCACCTTCATGGGGCACCAGCCAACTAAGGTGTGCTACCCCTTTTCACAAGAGTTGTACTGATTATTCTGCTGCTATAGACTGCCATGCTGGTCCCTGTGCTGCAAGCAAAAAACCAACCCCCAACCATAAACTCTGCTGGCTTTTAGCAAATTCAGTGACTTGTAGCTTTGCAGCAGAAAATTAAAATGCATAGTTTTTAGATTTTTTTTAGATTTTCAGAGGGGTTGCACAGGCGATGCCCCCACGTACCGCAAAGGCGCGTGTGCTGCGCCGTGGCATCCACGTGGCAGCGGGGCGGCGCGCAGGGCTCGGCCGCAGCCCCCGCCCAGCCGTGCCTCTGCCGCGCT